AATAATTTTATGATCTTAGTATTACTATCATGATTAAATGACGAAAAAAACCCCATGAAATATGATAACGCAAGAATCAAGGACCACCGTCTATGGCTTATTTCTGAATTTCGCTCGTTCGTTTCATTGAGCGAGTAAATATTAAAAGGTAAGTGGTGACAATGTCTACAGACGGCCAGTATCGATGAAACAGATATAAGATTGTAGAGTCAATTAATTAGCGTCGGCTAGATACCATGGGAATTTCAACAATTAGGCCTAAGACATGTTAAGCTGACTAAACTTACTATTGATTTCAACGATCCCCGATAATACTGACACGGTAATAATTACGACAAAACGAAATCGAATTAATATGCCTTTTCTATTTTGGTATGAAAATTATTGGGAGGGTTTCGGGCTTTTTCTTTCTTTTTTTGGTAAAAAATTTTGGAGTTGAAATTAGGGTCATTTAATAATAGAAGAATATATGTGGGTTTTTGAAGCTTTAAGGATGTGGACCCAAGAAGACCTCAAGCTTTATTAATATTCTGCCACAACAATTAAGCTATCGATTTTTGTCTTAACAATTTAGTTTAGAAAATTAACTTTTGATATTAATATTTAATTGTAATAAAGCAAACAAGATATCATATTAATACTATGTATGCAATTTGCTGTCTGGCTAATCTATCACGTTGATTGTAATGTGAGAATGGTTATTGACATATGTAGCTAGTTAAATATTACATCTGTTGTTCACATACGTATTATGGGAATGCATGTGTGTCAATAAATAAATAAGCGATAACAGCAAGTTTCCTTAAACAGATGATAATTGATAAAACAACTGTATATTAACGGTTAAATTATCGGATATGCTAACCGAGAAAGTTTGATTATTTGTTTACGTGCGTAACGACTGTGTGTAAAAGCAAATCTGGTACAAATATAATAACACCCCAAATCCGACGCACAATGAGCTCAAATATTGTACACTTGAAAAATGTCGCTTGACGTGTTGAGAAAACAAGTATTATCGAACGAGGAAGAAGAAAAAGTAGAAGTCAATCAGAGACACTTGATTGATAAAGTTCTCGCTAGGTGTGTAACTAAATTTTGAAAATAATCAACAGTTAATCTGAAACAAAACTCTTGACATTACCAATACAGATATTCCACAAAATTTGTGGTGTTTCGAGAATTAATGCAAAACGCAGGTTGGTAGTGCAGTTAATCATCAATGTATTGCTTTTATATCTTACAGTATCTTATTATATCGTTCTAATTTAATAAGATGATGCAAAGTCATCGAAAATAGAGATCTTTTTCGAAACGGACGGGAGTACTGAGGCAGACCCAAACATCAAAATCTGCACCAGAATATTATTTAAAAACAATGGGTTTATCTTCAGGCCAGAAGATTGGGATCGTTTGAAGAAAATAGCCGAGGGAAATCCTGATCAACAAAAAGTACACAAAGATTAAAGAATAACTATTCGCTTATTATAAATTTTTAATGTTCTGATGGCTTTAAACTTGTAGATTGGTGCGTTTGGCGTTGGATTTTACTCACTATTTTCAGTATGCGAGGAACCATTGTGAGTACGATGACATTGTTGTCCACATTAGTAACAGATCTGCATCATTTACACTTGGTGCATTTCTTACTTTATAGTATCTTTTCCGGAGACCATGGCATGGGGTTTTATTGGCGTAATTGCCAATTACATGCCAAATTTGGACCAATAGACAATAATAATAATCAATGGACAACATTTTTGATGGATCTCAGAGAACCCTTTCAAGTAAGTGGAAGATAAGCTATTATATTTTGGATGTTACCAACTCACGGTGCGACTTTTATCCTTAATTAACTATACATATTGCGCGCAACAGATTCCAACATTTGATGAATTCGGAAAATTTCTAGCAACGTCGATGGTAATTGAACATTTTATGAATCTAATTACTAACACATTACTGTCCTCCTTGTTGAGCAGTTTTGTTCATCTTATTCTTAGGTATTCACCGAAAACCTTCGTGAGATATGCGTACATACAAACAATACAAGAAACCTAAAACTTTCAAAAAAAATAATAGACACATCAGTTATGGAAGTACCCAAGCACTTGAATACGTGCTCGCCAAGAAGAATATTTTATCTTAAATCAATCAATGTGCGACGTGTAGAAGTGCAAGTAGAACGCCTTAACATAACAGCGAACTCGAACACAACTTTTAGCTGCCAAATGAATAATGCAACCATCCACCTTCACGTGGCAACTGGCAATTTAGACGTAGACGTGACGGAGACTTTCTCGGCGGAGATGGAACGCAGTATTAAAAAAAAACCGCCAACCACAACAGTAATTCAACTGTTGTTCCCAGAATTCGAATATGGACTTTCAGTTATAGAGAGCAGAGCGACGGAGGACGTTTCTAAAACGTTTAACAATCTGTTACCGTATCCAGAGCAAGGAAGGATATTTATCGGTTTCCCGACGCACCAGACGACTGGACATTCATCGCACTTGGCAGCAAGGTTTATTCCTACGGTAAGAATGACCAAAATAAATAAACATTCCACTGATAGTTGATTAACTTTTTAGACCGATTATACATAGTGACAAGTCTCAGGATAACTATCGTCATTATCACTGGACATTTTATTAATAATAAATTTGCTGGTCATCAAGGTCGAACGCGAATCAATAGACTTGGTGGACAAGACGTTAGCCATATACAACGAAGAGCTACTGTCAACGGCAGGAATTCTTACTCGTGTCGTATATGAAGAACAAATGGACCAACTATCCCACTTCTATACTGACTCTGTTAGTTCCAGAATTAATCCAGATGGCGAAGAAGTGCATACGGCACGCAAATTGGTTCAAAAAAAAGCTGCACGAATTCTTAACCATTTTACTTTTCGCTCAAGCACACCTAACAATTACGTAGGCACCATAATGGAAAGGATGTTTTTTTCCTGCTCCAATAAACCTCTGTCCGTCATCTCTTCCATCGGTGTCCGCCCTATTCAATCAGTAAGATTGCCCGACGCTGGTATGGAGGGATTTATCAAGGTAATCCCCGTTATTCCAAAGAACGTGCTGAACGATTGCAGAACTTTCTTTGAAAAGGCCAAGGAACGAAGGATAATAAAAGAGATTACGTTGGAGGATGTGTTAAACTTGGAACTGCAGGAGAGAATATTGACCGAAACAGAAATGACAGCGTTAATGCAGTGGTGGATTGGCTATTGTTCGAAGAGCCAAGTGTCGGACATAGAAAAAGCGCAATTTCTGCTCCAAGCGACAACTATTGTCAATGATAAAGTCTTGGCGTTGGCTAGTTTCAAGCATTTCTTGAATTCTACCTTGGCGGCAATTGACAGTGATTTTCCTATCAATACGTTACCATATACGATTACCAAAACGCTTGTTAAAAAATCCCTTGAAAATTACTTTGGGTAGGTACATATGCATACGTTCACAATGTATTTTTCCGTCCTTGCTAATTCGATAAATTACTCTCAGAAATTACAGAGAGCTTCCGCTCCTCACTTGGGTAGAATTTATCATTAAAACGCCGAAAATGCTCCAAAAACTCGAATCCGACACAGCCTTTGCCGAAAATTTCCTCGGTATCCTCGGCCAATCCTTCAAGTCCCTCTCCACGACAGATCAAGAGGCTCTCCATACTCTGTTGAACAGAAGAAAAATTATTCCTACAAAATACGGGATGTTTATTCCTGACCAGTCCTATTTGTCGTCAGTAACCGTCTTACCCGACTTGCCCACAATATACTTAAAAAAACCTCGGCGTGCATTGGAACCTTTTCTAACTTTTCTTGGCGTCCGCAAGTATGTCGAATTACAATTAATATTTGATCGATTAATTGCCCAAGGCAATTGGGATCATATAAATCTGGTAAAATACTTGATACCAAGAGTTGATGATATAACGCCTGATGAAAAGGAAAAACTACGAACAACTGCAATATGGCCATGTGAGGACGGACGTGGAATAAAAAAACATTTGATAACTGATTTATATGCTCCATTGCCAGAGTTGAAAGAACTTGATTTACCAATTATTAAATGGAAGAAAGGTTTGCCTGATAATCTGGCTGAAGGTAAAGTTTTCTGTAACATTTTGGGGGTAATGGAATAGCCATTGTTCTATGTATACTCAACGGCAAATTTTGTTTTACGTTTGACGCTCGTTACATCCTATCATTAGCTAAATTTCTAACAAGTCTTGGCCTCCGTATATATCCGCCATTGAACCACATCCTCTCACTGGCCGCTCCTCCGACTGAGACCAAGCTTCGATGCAAAGCTCTCGATTATTTTTTACGCCATTTCAAAGATTACTACGCAACAGATTACACACATTCTGTAAATACAGCATTTCTTCCTTGCGCTGACCCAACGATGTATGCTACGCCTTCCAACTGTTTTGCCAATCCTGCGTGTTCAGATATGGGATTCAATGTTTTGCGACATGATTTGCGTATTTATGCTGCAATGTTATTTGTAGAGCAGGATCCACCAAAATTAGAACTAACAGATAGATTGATTAATAAGCCACCGAAAAATAACATGGAAGCAAGGAAAACTCTTGAATATCTTGCGACACAACTAGGAGTGTTTGAAAACGCTGATTGGGAGGAGTTGAGTGGGGCCAATTTTATTCCTATAACGGATGATGAGAATCACGTTGTGCACACCAATCCGAATAGTTGTCTGCTTGAGAGTCATGATGAAAGGTAGATAACGTATTTCATAATGATGCAAGCGGTAATAATTACAATTTGGATTTTCCCTTCCGTTTGACCATTATCTGTTGTCATTATTAGATATAAAGGTTTTTTTACTTATGTTGACTTCGGAGAAAAGGCAAATTTATTTCTCAAGTCATGTGGCGTACACTTATCACCGTCTGCAGAAAAGCTTGCCTGGCGACTCGTTCATTCTTCAATCGAATCCCCGTCAAGAATGGATAAAGACGGCGAGCATTATAAAGAGTTTCTCTATTCAATTGCTATAGGCCTTAATACTATACGACAAAAACCCAAACTAATCTCTGCAATGAAACAGTCACCCATGTTCTTGGGATATAAAATAGTATCTTCTAATGGAGAGGACAAAACGCAGTCTTTTGATATTACCACATCGCAACGAATTTTTATAAGCGATAGTGACATAATACAGAGAATGTTTGATGTTCTGATATGCCCAGAGGAAGAGTATTTGGAACGACTTTATGAGGTATTAATTTAACCTACATTTTTATGCGTATTTGGAATGACATTGTGTAACTAATTCGTTCACTGTTGCAGCATCTTGGCAGTATGCGGTTAAAGCAAAGTGTGGCTATCTCACACGAGTCGAAAGGCCAAGCGAAAATCTCGGAACAATCTGCCAAGCTTGAATCCTTAATACGGGAACGTATACCTTTATATCTATGCACATGTAGCAGTCGCTCCAGCATGAGTCATGATACCTCATGGGTACAAAATATTTCTGTCAGAGAAGTTCAAGAAATACGAAAAACGTACCTTCTAATTCCAACGGGCGAGAGCAAAACCGAACAAACTTCGTGCTATTTATGCAATGACAATGACGGGTCGGAACGTACGTTATTAATTACCGGAGGCCAACCTGAGTATTCGGAAATAGCGGCTAATTTGGACGACGCTATTTGTATTAAACCAAGCATGAAACATTCACTGGCTTTGGCTTCAATACTGACAATGCCGCTAGATGGCTTGAGAAAGCTGGGGTGTCCTGTGGATAGAATTGCAAGGAAGCGCCAGAGAACCAAAACAATTGCCGTCGATCGGGGTTGGAGAACCTCGTCGATATGGCGTAGAACAGAAAATCGACAAACTGGAATACCAATACCGTCGACACCGGACGATATAACGACGATAGAGGCTACGATACGCAAGGCTCTCAAAACTTTTAAACCTTATCCCGGTACTATGATCAAGAGTCAGACGACAATTCATCGGATGGACGTGGATTCGAGCAGTTACTGTGATATTACGACTGGTAAGGTACACGGAATTAATCCATGTTGGCATCATTGACATCTACCAATATTGCGAATTTGGTCTGCTCTATTCTCTAGGTCATTCGTTAGAGTTTATCTGTCGCATAAACCAAATAGAAGTCTATGCATCAAAACCTGTCGGATACACTAACTGCGCAAGCATCAGAATGCACCCCGATATTAAGAAATTTGCGAAACTTCTCGACGAACTTTGTAGCATATTTGAGCTGTCGATGTCTACAGTTCATATATTTTACGAGATCGGAAAGACACAAGCATTTAACCGTAACGGCTCATTATTCTTTAATTTGTACTTTTATGAGATACTACACACCACTGCCAAGGAAAAGACTGCAATGATAAACTGGTTTTTTACCTTTTGTCATGAAATGGCGCATCATTTTGAGCCATTACATAATGCAAGACATGAGGTAAGCGAACTTGGGGAGGTACTAATAAGCAGTAATAATAAATATAAGCAATGCACAATTTTCTAATGGGTCTCTCACATTATTGTAGTTTTATTTCTCATCAATCGCCGAGAATTATTCACAGAAGTTATTCGCAAAATTGGAAGATAACAATATTATAAAGTTTTAAATTTGATACACACTAAGAGCTTTTGTTGGCATACTAGTTTTTCATTTGGTCAACAAATCTTGCGTTCCGCATCGCATCTCACCAACCAGCCTATTATCATTATAACCATGTGCGTAAGAAGAAATAAAAATGTAACAAATCGAAAGAATGTCTTTGTTAAAAATGACTTGCTTTGCGCCAGTTGTTACAACCGAAAATGTATAAAGTTTACGTTCTTCATGTGATGTGTTCCACTAAAATCCAGAGCCAGCTAGTATCTTGTCCGTCTGG